ATCAATCTTTTAAAGTCTTTGCCTTTTCATCTTCGGTCTACTTGAAAAGATATAAAAAGGAAATCACTGATAGCAAAGTTGGAGATTTTCTTCCGACACTTGTGCCTATCTCTCTCTCTCTCTCTCTCTCTCTCTCTCTCTTTCTCTCTCTTATTCCTACCTTTTTCTTTCTCTTTCCTTTTTTATCCTATCTCTCTTACGTGTCCGCCCTTTAACTTCTGACACGCGTTTCAATTGGCCCGGTTACCAAGGAAACCAAGGAAGAAGCCGAGTGTCACGCGGACTATTGAAGAGGTTAAAGGGGACTTTCTGTGTGCACCAAAAACATTCTAACTTCTCTTTAAACTTCTCTTAGATCCAATTGTGTACCGTTTAAACGTTCTTCTTCAAACAAGTGTTAACGAGCTTCCGGTGGAATCGATTAGGTACGAATAGATCTGGTATTACAATTAAACGAATCTCTCATTCAAATCGTATAAGAAACAATATTAAAATTCATTTCAATTTTATCATTTTATTTTTATAAACGAACACACATATATATACTCCACATTTCGTATACAAACGCCATAGATCTTATTTTTTCATACGCAAATATTATATATGGTGGCTTCATTTTTATAACATACATACATATTTTCATTTTTCTTATTTTTCACGTACATTCCTACGTCATTTTAATTTTTATAAAACTATAAAATACGTATTGCAATATAAAAAAAAATAAAGGCAGAAAGGGAAAGAAAAATTTTGGAGGAACGAAGAGTCGACGTGCACCCATTAGACTTTTAAATTTTTGCGAGCGCATCGCTAGGTTACCGCCATTGTAAAAGATGCGACCGAACACGCTTTGAAATAAAAAAAAAAGAAAGGATAAAATAATAAAAGTGTGTGCGAGAGAGAGAGGGAGAGAGAAAAATGTGAATTTTTATTCGGACCTGAAATGGTTCGTGTGAAATTGATAATAGCTCCTGCGTGGGCACTAACCGAAGAAATCGTCCGGGCTTGTGTCCACCGACAATACGAGACCTTCATTTTTTTCATCAAAAGGAATCATCCAAATTTCTTCTTCGAAAAAAATCGATCGCATAATTCTCCTTCAATTTCGATCACTTTGATCGATTTAAATTATTTCGATATTTTTGCCATTTTTTAATATTTTGAAATAAAAATAAACGTAATCGTTAATTCGCGTTCGAATAAAACAATTATTATTATTCGTTGATATAAAATTAAACGAACAAATTTCGCGAATTTTCGAAAATATAAAAATATTTTCACCTGACGAAAAAAATGTTATCTCATTTTATTTTTGATAAAGGACGATCAAAAAGGTGAAGGTGGACAAAAAGTGGATGGGAAAAAGGAAAGACTATAACAGGAACGTCGATGAAGGGTCGGAGATCGGACAGAAAGAGATGAGAGAGAAAGAGAGAAGGGTGAAGGGTAAGGGTGGAGGACCGGGGGGAGGGTCTGGTTGGAGACTTTGCTACAGCACTATTAACAGCTAATGAAAATTAGCTTCTGTCGCTTGATTGAGCGACAAATCGCTCCTTTCTTGTTTCGGGAGAGAGGGAATGAGAAAGAAATAGAGAAAGAGAGAGAGAGAGAGAGAGAGAGAGAGAGAGAGAGAGAGAGAAACTTTGGTGTCGTTAAAACCAGCTTTACCTCCGCTCTCTTTCTATTTCTCTCTCTCTCTCTTCTCTTCTCTTCTCTTCTCTTTCGATCTGCGAACGTTTCGTAGAAAATTTCGAACGCGTGTAATGACACTTTTCCTCGAAAATTACAATGCGAATAATTACTCCTGAGTTTCGAACTGATTCCAGTATATATATCTTTCTTTTTTATTTTATTTTTTTTTTTTTGTCTTTATATCTCACATTTTTTTATTTTTTTATTATTATTAAAAGATTTTCGACAAACTTTTTGTTTTTTTTTTTGCTACCAAACGATCGCTAGCCAAATTAATTTTTCATCGCGTTATATTTCATTTTTATCCTATCTCCTGTAAAAAAAAATATATCTATTATCTATTATATTTCATCTATATGTATATTTATATTTTAATTGTAATATAATTTTCTTATTAATTTTTATCAAAGATTTTGAACTTACTTTTTAAAAAAAATTATTTTCTTAATCATTACATTTCATTAGAATTATATTATTCAAATAATAATGAAACTCTCAGATGAAATACAAGGAAACAGAATAATAAGAACGAATATAATATAATGAAAACGATTTAATAGAAACGATCTTCCGCAAAAGCGTAGCGGGGCCGGGTTCCTATAGAAACGAAGATATAAAATGTAAATTTCTCGCAACGAAACCGCAAGTCATTAAGGCTACTAGCTAGTATACTAATGGCGATACTCTATAAGCTGGTACAAGGTCTGCCCGAGCGGAACGGCATTACGGCTGTGGAATGTTTAGACGAGCGATCTAAACGAAACGGTAATGGACTGCAGAAGCAACTATAAAACTCCCACCTCTATCCTTCTCTCTCTCTATTTCTCTCTCTCTCTCTCTCTCTCTCTCTCTTTCTTCTGTAACGCTTTTCAAGATGATCCTTTCCATTCAAGAAGCGAGCGGAACGAAGGATGCTCCTAATTGATTTCACATATGTACTCTTCATGTATGTATATATATGCATTTACGTATGCATTTATGTTGCGCATTTATGCGTGAATGTGTGCGAATCCATGTATTATTTACACGTACGTACGTACGTATGTATCTAAATACATTCACATATTAACGGTTATTATCCTATCATTTTTTTTTTTTTCTTTTTTTTTTTCATAAGAAACTACAAATGAGACGTAATGAAGTATCGTATGTTTGAAGTACTTTGTTGAATTCACAAAGTGGAGGAGAAAATTTGAAAGTCATTAGATGATATGCTATAATATCGTTACGAAAAAGGGGAAAAGATATTTTGTAACAAAAAAAAAAACAGTTTTTGAAGTAAAAAATTTTTAGGTTTCTAATTAATTCGTTACTTAGTAAACGAAATTTTTGATATCGCTTATTAAAAATCAAAATCATTTTCTTCTTTAAGATTTCCAAAGCTAAAAAAATATATCAAAAAATTGCTAAATTTTCGATTAATAAATAACCTCTATGCGTATAATAATAATATTTATATGAAAAAAGAAAAAGAAAGATCTTTAATACGTTTATAATAAAAATTTCGAAAAGAATTGCATGAACAAGTTGACAAGTTATGAACTTAATATAGAAACAATTTAATATTACAGAAATAGACGAACAAATAAAAGATAATGTTTTATGGAAGCTTTCTAAAAATTTGTAGAAAATTATCCTGATAATTAATTCGTTATTTGTTAAATCTAATTAAATCATAGTTGGGAAAATCACATGGTATAAGATCTTTATACGTGTCCCTATAAGATCAGAAGCTACTGAACTGTCAAAGGAACTCTCTCTCTCTCTCTCTCTCTTTTTTACTCTCTCTCTTCCTTTCTTTCTTTCTTTCTGTTTCTTCTTTCTCTCCATGAAAGCCAATAACGAATAAGACGCACGTGAACTTCCTTTCGGCGATGGTAATGTAACTCTTTTGTTTATAACAGATGAGTGTCAGAACTAGAGTCGTCCCTTTTTTTTCTTCCGTTGGAACGGAGTTAACTCTGTTAACTCTGCCGGTCGGCCGCGTCTGAATAAACATATCAGATGTCTGTTCAGCCCACCCAGAGAAAACGGGGGACTACTGACTATTAAAACTCTTATGGGAAAAGGCCCTCGTTGGCTCCTTCTCTCCTTAAAACTTAACTATTTAAACTAATCCTTAAGCGAATTTTCCACTTGCTCTCCTTATGGTCATCTACCAAAAAATTATGACAAGTATGGTAACACGATAAAAAAAAAAAATATATATATATATATATGAAGAAAAAAAGAAGAGAGGATCGTTAAACGGCATAGTTTTTACGAGCAACCCTACTTCAGTGATCATTATACAGATGTTTTCTTTTAGTCCATTTTTTTTGTTCTTTTATCGTTCGAATTTCAGGTGAGGATTATTAGAAAAAGAAGAAAATCTTTTATTTTTGTTTTTTTTTTTCTCTATCATATTTTCTTCATTTTTAATTCTTGACCATGTATTTTCTTTTTAATACAACTCGAATCGCCGTGACGTCTACAGAGAAACGAGGTTAACATCGATCCCTTGTGTACGGATACAATAATAATAATAATAATAATAATAATAATTAATAATTAATAATAATGATAATTGTGATAATAATATTCTTAGGCAACAAAATACAATCGACTTTGCACAGGTATCTTTTTGTTTTTCATTTAAAACGATATTGCACATACGCCGTCTTTGGTACAATCAACGAGTTATTAATAATCCTATCGGATATTTAATTACACGTAGGAACGATCTTCGAGGTAAAGAGGGTGGTTGGTTTAAGTTCGAGAAGGATGGGAAGATAGTAAATAAATATTTCGTCGATCGAACATTCTACTCCATGATTTCGTCAAACCAGTTGTTGTTTTTTTTTTTTTTATACACTTATTTACAATCTAATTTACACGCTCGCACCTACTTTTTATCTATATTATTCATAATAAATTTATATATATACTAATATATATATATATAGATATATATATAGGTGGATGGGTTGATAAGTTGTGAGCCCTAACACAGAAACAACTTATTTTTTGATCAAACTAACTTTTATTTTAAAAAAAAAAGAAAAAGTAAATAGAAGCTTTTTTGTTAGGGCTCAAAACTTTTCAACCCACACACCATCTTATATATTAGTATAAATATATTTATTTATTATTTATAGAATGTTTTTTTTGACAACGAACACTCGCCGTCGTTTACAAACTGTTCACACGTTAATAAATCTAAAATTATGAGCCTTTTTGGTGTCCCTCCGTCTATTTTTCTTTTTCATTTTTTTTTTCTTTACATATTATTTTTTCATTAGAATTTAATTTAATTTCTTTTTTTTTCTTTTCCCCTAGATAAAAATTCGACAAACCAAACAACTCGTCGAAGATAAAAACGTCGATCAAGGATTCTTCTGATTTCATTTCTTTTTTTTTTCGTTCCTGGTATTCGTTTAATTCTCTTTTATTCATCAGAAATAGAAAAAACGAGATATCGGATTTTGATAGAATTTCGATTTTACTTGTCGTTATTCAATTTTGTTATATGTCCCTGATCGAGATCCGGTGCGATAGCGTTTTGTACCTGAATGTGGGTGGAGTGTAATGGCGGACAAAGCAAAGGGTGATAGGGCAGACAATAGTAAGGGAAACCTCCGAGGGCTTTGTTCGCCGGATGAATTTGCGGGCTCGACATTTGTCCAGGAAGTTGTCCTGAACCACGAAGAGGCAATCCTCTCAAATGTTCATCCGGATGTACCAAAACGCGTACGGCTACGCGTCTCGCGTTTCCGGAATTCACTATTGCTCCTAATTCCTGTTGTTGACGTCTTTTGGTTTTATATCTGAAACAAAATTACACCAACGAATCGTTGAAAAATAATTGTTACGTGTTAATCCATCAATTAACAAATATTCCAAGTATTTTATATTCAAAATATTGTAATTCATTGTAATGAAAGGATTGTTGTTTGGTTTTTCATTTTTCTTGTTTTAAACTTAAATACAATATTTAAAGTTATCATCTCTTAAGTGATGAAATATATTTCATACAAATATGTGAAAGTATACATAATTGATAAGATAACAATTCAAATAATTATTATTAAATCTTACCGTCGGTTTTGAAACCAAATCTTAACTTGGGTCTCGGTTAATTTTAATCCTCGTGCAAGATCCGCTCGTTCGGGTCCTGACAAATATTTCTGCGCCGCGAATCTTCTTTCCAATTCGTAAACCTGAGCATGAGAGAAAGCTGCTCTGCTACGTTTTTTTCTACTTTGCAAACTTTGTCCGTGATTTTGCGACTCGAACATATCCTCCTCGATATCATCTGCAATACGAACGGGAAAGAAAAATAATATCATTTTCTTTTTTTATTTCTATTTTTTTTTAATACAAATCCATGAATTTTAATATTTAATTATACAATATTCGAAGAAAAGGGGAAATAATATTAATTCTCGCAATTGTGTAGGTACGTGCATTTCGTTTAATAAACAATCAGTCGGGTAGCAATATACAATGCGTTTAATTTTCGAGAAATAATCGAATGGCGCCTTTTGCAAAAGAAAACTGTTTGCAGACGAATGTTTACATCTCGGTCGATAATCCGAAGCGACTGTGCTTTGCAGTTGGATGACTTGCTGGAGGATGGATCGGTATCCTGAAGTAATCATACTCTCGAGCAGCCATAGAAACGGTGATTTACTCGAAGAAAGAAAAAGAAAAAGAAAAAGAGAGAGAAAGAGAGAGTGAGAGAGGAGGGTGGGAGAGAGACAGCAAGTGTACGCATTTCCTTAGCTTTTGATGTCTCGTTCAAACATTAACACGTGCCCTCGCTACTCCGACATGTTTACGCTTTTGCCCCAGCGTTAATTCTCCCTCCCTGCCCCTGCCCCACCCCCTTTCGTCTCCTTTTTTTTTGCTTCTGTAGATCGAGAAGCTCCGTGGAAGTGCAATCGCATCGTTCGCATCGTTGCATCCTAGCTCGTTCTACTTGGCAACGAGCCTAAGCCACTCGATTTCCTCGGCTACGCCGCAAGAATGGCCAGCCGTATTACGAAGAGTTTTCGAGTGCCAAATGAAAGGACTACTACCTATCTACCTACTTGCAAAATGAGGAAGACATTTTGCCAATAAATTAATTCAGGTTATCTAACATTCTGGTTTTATATGAATTGGATTTTTATTCAAATAATTTATTTTAGATAACGCGTTTCTTGTAATTTTGATAGAATACAAATTATTTCAATTATTTATATATTGCGTTAGTTTTTATTCTTTTGAAATTAATTCGTGACCTTTTTTCTTTATAAATTTTTCGATAAAATGAAAATGTGTTTTTGTAATCGACAAATTTCTTTATACTTTTATTTATTTTTTATCAGTATATTTTAATTCGATAAATAGCCACAGTATATTCGTAAATATATTTTTTTAAGTTTAAATAATAATTTGCCGGTATTTTGTAATTAAAGAGATAGAATTGTTTTTAATTAAAATATTTAATACATATTAATATTATATTGTTAATAAATACATTGAAGATTTTAATGTTAATCTGTGTAATATTGATCACTTATATTGCATACTAATATTTTATTATTAATACTGACTATATTTATTATAAAATACTAGCGTAATAATTCTGTATTTTTTTTTTTAACAGAAATTTAAAAATCAACAAGCAATCATTAATTTTTATTTACTCTTAAAAAATATTTTATTCGAAACAATATTTAATATTGCAAAGAGTATAAATATTAAGTAATGGAATTCATTAGGAAAATAATTGTTTTTGTTTCGTTGCTTAAGATTTATAGTAGTAGTTTCGACATGACGTGATACGTTTAAATGGTGATCTATATTTGATCACTTTCGACGTCAAATCTGATGCCATCTCGTTCCAAGTTAATGCTTCCCTACTCTTAATGCTCTCGTCAAACATCCTACATCGTGTCTGTACTAAGAGAGAGAGAGAGAAAGAGAGACAGGGAGAGGGAGAAGAAGAGAGAAAAAAAATGAGAGAGAGTGAGAGAGTGAGAGTGTGTGTTCAGGACGAGCAAGTGGTGTTAGTCCACTCCGATTACATCGATGACCCTTCGGATTCTTCATCTCTCTCTACTTTGCTCGCTTATTTTATCCAATAGGAATCGAATTTTTTTCTATGGTTTATTGAAATACGATGCCTATCAATATCCCATATCAAATATTAGAAGTTTATTCCTTTGATACATCTTATAACAATTTTTATAATTTTTTTTATCATCCTTTCGACAATTTGATTTGCAATTTTACTTTAATTAAAGATTCTATTCGAAATTGTATTTTTATTAACTTGAAATTAGTGTCGCTCATAAATACTGAAACTTTTGAAAAATAATTTTCTAAGAAAACGTTTACAATTCGAATGACCGTTATTTTTTATAACATCTCATTTATTTCTTCTTTCATTTTGATTTCATTTTTATGATATTAATATAGTCAATTTGAGATTTTTGTCATGCATAAACGCGATGATTTTTCTTTTCTAAATTTTCAAACGATCGACACACTAGATCTTATTTCAATTTCGACAATTTTCACAATTATTTCTATAAATAACATTTTATTTATTTTATTGTTTGTTTTACACAATATTGATGAATAAATTTCATCTATAAGAGACATTATTTGAATAAAAATGAAATTGTGTCATAGAAAAATGTTGTAATTTCATTAAGAAAATGTTAAAAGTTATGTTAAATGAAATGAAAGGAAGGAAGGAAGCGTAACGGAAGCGGACGTTGAACGAAAATGTGATTCGTTTACGAAATGATATATATTTCATAGTTATTTCACGAGATTGGCCAAGATAATATATAGGAAACACATAGATAACATCGATACATGTATAAGGCAACCGTAGAGTAGGGTTTCTCGTTAAAAGGACTTGTAATTTTCTGAGTACAGGTTGAAACGGTGCCAACTCGTGCCGGTTGCTCTACAACTCGGGTGAGAAAGCGCATTAGTTTAATTGAGGGTTTTAGAATCGTTCGATGTTTTTTAAACTCTGCCAGAAAATCTCATTTATTTATTTGAAACACACATAAATCATTTAAAAATATATAATTTTTCTTTTTTTTTTTTTATACATGTATCATCAATGACAGCAAAAAATATGACCCGGGCGCGTACGCGAATCACGTATGCGAGTTGAGTGAAAACTAACGGGACGAATCGTTAAAAGCATGATTGATTTTCGCATTTCTATCCGCGTTACGGTTATAGGGGAATTTTCTGTTTACTCTTAACGAAAGATAGTGCCATTTCGACGATGTAATTTCATACGGATTGAAGAAAGGCGTCGGGATGACGTTAATCGATAAAATCAAACGCGTGTATAATCGATCATACAATTGTCGAAAATTTTTCACATTTTTCAGAACATAGTTTTAAAAGAAGATTTTGATTGGAATGAGAAGACGATTTAGAAATTTCTAAACTCGATTACTTCCGGGCAACAAATTTCATAACCTTGATCTAAATACGTGTACGAAGTAATCTATAGATTTTTGATTCTCTCTCTTCCTATCTTGAAAGAAAAAGAGAGAGAGAGAGAGACAGAATATCAGTGTAGTCCCGGAGATCGGACAAGTGCAGAAGAAGAAGAAGAAGAAGAAGTAGAGTAGCTAGCACTTGTGACGTCTGCCCGCTCGAGTGGCACTTATGCTACTAAAATTACATTCAATTACGTTATCTGTGCTCGGGTTAACTTTAAAACCGCTTGAAAAGCTCGCCTGTTACAAGGATACCGGATTCTAAATGATCTCTTAAGTATATATCCTCGTGGCTGACACACAATCCTCTGGAAGGGTTTATTAGTTTGTACCTAGACCAATTCACTTAACACAATAATAATAAAAAGAAAAGCCCAAATTATTTTTTAATCTAAGAATTTATTCATACAACCGATATTTGTCATTCGTAATACATTGGAATGTTAAAAAACAAAACAAATAAAAAGTAATTAATTGTACTCACCAAGATATTTGTTCTTGCTCATATCCAGTGCCTCGTCCTGTTGCCTTTGAGATGATTCCCTGGATTCCTTGGTGGTCTGATAAGCTGGAAGGTTACCCAAAGTTTCGAGATGCTTGAAAGATGCCTGCCCTAAGTGCGGCAAACCACCAAAACTCGTGAGATTAGCGTGAGCTAGATTTCTCCTGAGTATATCCAACTCTCGTGACATGTTTGTTTCGGGCGAGGGTAATCTTGGAAAACCAGTTACGATTAAACGTTGTTCACGTTCGATTTGTCCTCCTCCGTTATTAATATCACGTTCGAACGTTCTCTTAACCGAATCGCAAACACCTGATTGAATAATTTCGTCGGCGTGTTCGGTGACGATCGTACGTTGTTTTTCGTGTTCACCGTTAGACGTTCTACGACTTAGAATATCAGCGATGCTGAACGGTGTTGGTTGAGATGGTTTCGGTGAGGTTTCGGTTCTTTTCTCCTCCTCCATCCTTTACAAATATATCCTTTTCTAATTTCTTTATATATATATATACACACTAAAATAATCCCTAATATTCTTAAAAGTATCAATATATTAAATTAATTTTATCAATTTTCGAAACACTCCTATCAATTAAACATAATACGACTCGACAAATGTTCGGACGTATATCAAACACATCTTACTTTTATCTTCCTCCGTTCATATTACAAATTTACGATATATTTTAACCATTAGGTCACACAAGATTAACTGATTATTATGAAAAATCACTTTTCTTCTTTAAGAAACACTTGGAACTATAAAAACACAAGATTTACTTCGAATTCAAAAGGGACGCGTTAAATAATAAGTTAAGGAATTATTAAAAACCGACAATTGTTGTTATTGGTCTCTCTTTTTAAACTGTTTCTATCTTGTTCATCCCTCTCTCTTTCTCTCTCTCTCTCCCTTTTGCTTTTGAATCGAGTTATTAATCCTCAGTCAGAGCACTCGCCGGCACTCTCGCAACTTGCTCACACTCGACGTAGGAGCGGTCTCTTCGATGAAGTGTGGTGCTTGTCGCGCGCGCGCCTCCTCCAACTTATTTTTCCAATTGCTCCCGAATTGAAACCGCCTCCTCCGCGAGGAGCCCTTCTTCCTGCGCCCCTTTTTCGGGACGCCTTCCCACCCTCTCTCATCGTATTACTACTACAAGTGTCTTCTTCCCCTTCTATCTCGGCCACAACCCGATTCTCCCCACTTTTACTCTACAATATCCTTCCCCTGCTCCCCACCCCCTTCACCACTCACTCTCTCGCTCTCTCTCTCTCTCTCTTATATTTTGAGTTAATGTTTCGATAGTATCATTCTGTCTCCGTTTCTTTCACACATTGTTCATCCTAAAAGTCTCTTACGAATAAGCACTAGAGAATATATTCTTTTCTCTTTCTCTTTCTTTCTTACACATTTAAATCGAACATTCTTTTATGAATGAATTCACGTACATTGTTTTCTCTCTCTCTTTCTCTTACACGTCTCATCTCTTTCTTTCTTTCTTACACGTTTCATTACTATTGTTATTACATCTCTCTCTCTCTCTCTCGTTTTTATTATTTATTAAAATTTATTGATAATTTATTGATGAACAAATATTTGTATATGTTTAACACACGTTTAGGGAATACTTATTACACGTATACGTGTTACGTTTTATCTCTCTCTTTTTTTTTTTTTTGTTTTTTTGTTAATGAAAACTATTAAATACTTTTTTATCACGCGAAATCCTTGCAAACGTGAGTCCTTTAAAATTGTTTTCTTGCAACTCCTTTTGATTTTCTTCTCTCTCTCTCACCCTCTCTTTCTCGTAAAGGGTGGTACACTCACCTTTTATTCTCTCACCTATTATCCTTATCTATTGGGTCAGGGATAAAGTTTCCTCGTATTTTCCAGGTAGATGATCTTTAAGATCGGATAACTTTGCCAATACTAATCCACTTTTAAAAATACTTGCATGCGTTTGAAAGTAGAAATATCGCAGAGTAATTTGTGATATTTGTCTATTCCGTTAAAAAATTATTGCTAGTCTTGATAATGAGAGAAATTAATGAAGAAATACGATACGTTTTGGAACTTTTATAATAAAAAAAAGAAAAGAACGCGAATTACTGAAATAATTTCTGACGTTTATATAAACACGATGGGATATTCGTCATCACGTGGTACGAATTTGATTCGAGAGTTTTTAATTTGAAAACTTCAATGCCAAACGTGCAACCAGTTCTTATCGATCAAAAGCATCATCTATCACGAAGAAACTTTTTTTGAAAACCATTTGAAGAAAATTGGATAAAAAAATATGAAAAAAATTTGTTCCAAATTTTACATTGAAATACGAAGAGAAATTTTGTCCCTGATCCAATTTATTCTACAAAATATATCGTCATATTACCGTTCAAGATTTCGATAAGCAACTATAAGCATCTGTCACGAAACCATTTGGAGAAGTCTGTGAATGAAAAATATGAACAAACAAAATTTTGTTTCAATTTTTGTCTATTAAAATACGAAGAAACTTAATCCCCGACCCAATATACTCTCTATAATATCAGTGTATTTCTCTCTCTCTCTATCTCTCTTTTTCTTTCTTTCTCTCTTATGCTGAACGCGTGTCAGAGGTAGGTGGAGCTTTGACCTCCTTCCGCTTTGCTTTCCGTAGGATCGTTTCCGTTGAACGACGGGGATGCCTCGCCCTACAGCCAATCAACGGGCTTTAGTATTGCAAGACTTTTCCATGTAGGACCAATGGTCGTGAACCGAGAATATACTCTGAACCATCTCTCCTTCTCGAGATGTTCGGAGTGGGATTCTATCCGCGAGTGGGTTCTTCAATTTTCTATCTCTCTCTCTCTATCTCTCTATCTTTCTATCTCTCTCTTTCTCTCTCTTTACATCTCGCTACGTCTCATTCTATTCGTCTGACATATTTCTTCTATCTCTTTTTACGATCTGTTCTACTCGTGTCCGGTAGAGAGAATGATCGACTCTTATTCATAACAGAAAAAGATGCATGCATTCGTGATGAGAGGAAATTTCCGCACGTACGAATCAAATTAGTTTTACATTTATACGACAATCTTTTTTTTTCCTTGCTTTTTTTTTTTCTCTCTATTTGTTTTTATTTAATATTCCGCATATCAAAATAGAGAGAAGATATCATTTTTCATTTTTATTTTTATACGAAAATATATTCGTACGATATTATATTATATAAAATTGTTATAAGGTTATTTTATTATTTTTTAGAGAGAGAGAGGGAGAAAATTTAATGTCGAAGAATTATTGTTTGTTTTTGAATTTTCTTTTTTGTTTTTTTTTTTTTTTTATGTCCGCTTGTCCATTAATTACTCCATCATTTTTACACTTGGGTAAATATACGCGTGCCGTTGTCAGTTACGACGATTTATCATCCTATAAGACATTTTTAAACATTACTGTTCACACCGATGGCGACGTTAAAGAGTTAAATTGTTATATCTATAATCATTTCTTCAATTAGATTTTTTTATATAATCGTTCCATTTAAAATCTATAAAATTTGTAACTTAAATAAAAAAAATATACATATATTTAAAATATCAGAAATGTGTTAAAGGAAGATTTATGAATACGAAACGTCAAATATATTTACTATTTCTCATTTTTTTTTTTCTTTTTGTAAATTAGATTTAGATGAAAATTTGTCCAATTCTAAATTTGCAATTTAATTAAAAAAAAAATACATTAAACAATTTAGAAATATAAAAGTAAGTTTTAGATTTATGAATATGAAACGTCCAAATTTTCTTCCTCTTTCTCTCTTTCTCTTTCTCTTATTCTCTTTCTCTTGTTAGAATAGATATAGAAGCACATGTACTATAGATAGTAGTCTAGTAGCACCTAGGTAGTACTTCCTCTCGTATCGAGACGAGAGAAACTGCGCGGTGCATATATAGGGTGTACTTTACATAACAATTGTCGCTAAAGACTTGCAGTATTGTCCGCCACGTGCTACTGGTCCAGAGTTCCTATGTCGGTTTAATTAAGTGTGAACCACAGAAGCGTTAGACTACGCCTCACTTCATCCGATGATGACCTTGTACGTTCTAGATATCGATGAACAAATCATTTCAACATACTTTAATCTTTAATATTTTTTCCAGAAGATTTTATCAAATATCTATATCATCTTTTCTCATATCATTTCTCACAATTTATTCACAAATAAAATTTTTTTTTATAATATAATTTATATAATTTTTGAAATAGATGTGCAAATAATTTCTCTTACGTCGATCTCTAATGTTTTCGTGTTGAAAATATTTATTTTTTTTTAAATATCTATCAAAATTTTTGTATTCCATTACTAATCACGTAAAAGTAGATTTTATAATTGAAATATCGATTAGTATGAAATGTCATTTTTGCATTATATAAAAATATATTATCGCAAAAAGAAATTTTTTTATTTTTTTATTAATATTAAATATCATTCAAAATATTAAAGTTAGAGTAACTTTAATTTCATCTTCATTTCTACAAATTGATTGACAAGTAAGTTTTTTAAATCCCAATATTATTCATTCACCCGTTCTATGCTCAAAACGACGACAATAAATTTACTATAAAAATTCTTCCCTTTGTTCTTTCTCGATTATATAAAAGTAAGAAAAGAAAAAAAAAAAAAGAAAAAACGAAAAAAGATAAAATAAAAAGAAAGAGAGTGAACGATGGTAACCGAGCCGGAAAAACGGTGTGCTCGTCTTCGCTTCCCTTCATCGAGCTTCTTACCTACGAACGAGGCACGATTCGATGGGTAATCTTAAGAAATCGACCAATAGAGTTCAAGAGAGAGAGAAAGTTCAAAAGAGAGAGAGAGAGAGAGAGAGAGAGAGATCCTGGAAGTTTTAGTTTTTTTCATCTTTCTTTATTCCATCTCTCTTCTCTTCTTCTCTCCGTTAGATTCGATCTAATCAATAATAAATTATAGGGGGGAGGGTTTTTGGTTCGGTGGTGGTACATCTCTTTCCCCTTAGAACCAACGTCTGACCCTCCCGCTCAATTGGTCGCAATTCTTAAAGACCTTAATTGGCGCGGAAAATTATACCTTATTTCAGTTATCCCCACCGTTCGAGAAGATAAAGCAGACGAGTTTTCTCTCTCTTTCTTTCACGTTACTTTCTTTCTTTCTCTTCTTCGGTCACTCGTTTACTCACTCACTCACTCACTCACTCACCCTTCTTTTCCACCCTTAAACTGTGCTACTTCGTCGCCTCTTTTGCTTCCTTCTCTTCGAATTCGTTCTTCTATCCTACACACACACATACACACACACACACACACATTTTATTTCTTTCTCTCTCAAAGATATTTCTTTTCTCTCTTTCGTGAAGCAATCGCTCGAAATATCGACGATTTGCGGCCGTCTAAACGTTTTATTCCAACAGGAAGAAGGGCCGGGCCGATTTCCTAAGGTTTTACCGTAGACTACTTTTCATGCGGTAGATCCTTAAAAAAAAGAAAAAAGAAACTATCACGCGATGATCTTTCTACGGTGTTTTTTTCTCTTCTTTTCTTTTCATTTTTTATTGAACTTTTATACAGTTTTTTTTTTTCTTTTCACTACGAGAGACTCGTAAATGTAATAAAAACATTTATTTCGGGACGTGTCACCTCAAAGTCGAATATACGACATCAAAGTAATATATTTCATTTTTTCTATCTTTATATATATAAAAAGAGATTATTAAATTCATCCGTTGTTTATATTATTTCTTTTTTTCTTCCAAAAGAATCAAGTCGAAAAAAATCTAATCTGTATATTATATTTCCATCATTAATAAGACATTATTAATTTCAAATAATAACTAATAATAATAATTCATATATATTTTCTCTTAGCAAAATTGATATTTGATAAAAACAAAATATTATTTTCAACAAACACACATATTATTATTTGTTTCACGATATAGAAATCACGACAGATATAGATAAAAATATCTAAGAAATATCATTCACAATCTATAATATAAGTGGGAACAATAAGCTTAAAGAGATCATATAAAGAGATCTCATAATTTTCAAATAAAGTAAAATCTGATCGCGGAACGTTGGGAACGTGGTTGGGGCTTGCTTTTCGAAAGTTCATGAATTTATTTAAAGACGGTCGCCCAGGCTTCCGCGAAATTTACCGAGGAGAAAGGCGTCTCCTACGAGACGATTCAAGTGCAAAGAGATAGATAGATATATAAAGAGAGAAATAGAGAAAGAGAGAATGAGAATGAGAAGAAGAGAACAAGAAGCGTTTAACTTAGTTTTAACCGCGTCGAGTAGTAGGAGCAGGAAATTTCGCTCTCGCGTCGAGACGTCGTCGTCTTTCTGACGAAACGAAAGCGATCGACGTATCCGTGTAAAAGGCGATCACGAGAAAGATGAACTATCTTTTTCTCTTTCTCTCTCTCTCTCTTTTTTTATTTCTCTCTTCATGGGCGAATACGCGCGCGCCCATCCTAAGAATATAAAAACAAGAAGACCGGATGACTGCTAACTGTTTGTTAGTCTTGGCTTTTAAAGTCCGCGCGTCTGTCAGTTCAGAGATGTAATATTAGTGCTTATAGCTCGTGTACATTTTCTATGTATAAGTTTTCTATATGTTTATGTATGCATGTATGTATGTATGTAGTTAAGGGATGTATGATTTTGTCTGGGTTGGTGGGTGCTTGGTTGTGTCTGTGTATGTATGTTGTAAGCGCCAGCATCTTCTTCCTCTTCTTCCTTCATCCTTTCTTCTCTCTCTCTCTCTCTCTCTCTCCTTTTTTTCTCTTTTTCTGAGTTTCCTTTCTTCCTTCTTCTTCTTCTTCTTTATTTCCTCTTCGTCCTCTCTTTCGAAAAACGAACAGATACGCGAACGACGTCCGGACTTCGTTGAATTTGATGACCAATTAGTATACGACGAATTTGTTTTTGATATATGCTCTCGTTATTTTTTTGGCTCATCGATGAGAACTATTGTGTGTACTTTTTTTTTTATATATATATAATCCTTTTATGCGTCTTATGGCGAAATTTGTATTGCAATATTTGTTTTTGTTAATGATGTTATATCTTTGTTACGCGTGTTTGCTATTTAATATATTATATTGGATATATTTTTCTTTTTATTTCGTTTACATCGGACAAAATTTATTTAAATATACATATACTGATTATTCGATAAATTTTAGACTATAAAAAAGAAAAGATGTATTTATATCATATAAAAAAGTATGATCACTTGAAAATTGAGTTCATTTTGTATACCAGGTACTATATTTTTATGTTTTAAAGTCTAATAGTATCTTGAGCTTCTTCTGCTTCTCTTCGTTCTCGTTTCAAGATGTAACGAGATGTTATAAATCATTGTTGCTTAAACGTTCTCCGCATAAATACCAAAGCAGTTGTTTTTTTTGGCTACGAATCTATCGGCGCTCATCGCTAAAGTTTAACATAGCAATTTGTTTCCTTTTTGTGTTTATTGATTCGTTTAACGCAAATTATTTGGAGTTAATGAATATTGATTATATTTTAAGAAAAATTTTTGTATTTATATTTGATATATTATTTTTTCATTTATAATATTTCATTAAGGTAGAGAGTGCACTAAGAAATAGTTTAATACGATTTAAAGGAAATGAGTTCATCGATAGTCGGTATAAAAGAAATCTACGTGTCATAATAAGATTGTTACCGTTGATACAGTCATTTTCTCGCTTATCATCGTAAAAGTGAAATCTACATAGCCAAACGTTGATACTTAAGTATTAAAAAGAAACTTTTGTTTTTCAATTTGTAATAAAAACAAAAATTTAAATAAATCTTAATAAATCTTCTTAATCGATTATATTACACTTTTCAAAGCATTAAAAAAACATCCAAGCTTTAAATATTTATCGAACGATCGATTATCAAAATAGTCTACGTCAAACTTATGGTATTCAATCCACGTATTAAGTCATAGCTTAAATTAGAAAACTCTAGTATAAATTGATCGCGCAAAGACGCTTAAATTTTCTAAACGTTTCTATGTTTAATACGATACTTACAAACTTTCTGAACTTTTTTCCAATAATTTCACATCGATATATTTTTATATTTCTTTTTCGTATTAAATAAAAAATAATATAAATGTCACACATGCGCGGCAAAATTAATTTCTTAAAAAGAAAAAAAAACTAAGAAAGGAACGAACCACGCGGAGGGCAGTGATTAATGATACTAAACAAGAAAAAGGGAGAAACAGAGAGAGAGAGAGAGTGAGAGAGGGAAGAAAAAACGAGTCAATTAGGCAATATACGTCATGTGTCGCGGTTAAACGTTTTACGCATAGAAGAAGGGAATCTATTTGAACTTAATCGCGTGCCTACCCTTTTGAGGGAATTCCCCCTCTTCGAGTTTGCTTACAGGCAAATAGGATCGTATTTCGATGTTAAACGTCCCATGATTGATCATATGAATATACGACCGTATATAATGGACGGTCATCGATTTACAAAGAAGAAAAATACCGTGAAATCTATTTAACGATGCATTCGTATGCGTTCCGAAGATGAAGAATTGCATTTTCAAAGACAAAAGAAAATTGATTTATCAAATAAAATTTTGTCTAGGATAATCATTTCAAACTAAAATCACAAAAACAAATGATATTTCTCTATGATAAAATTATGTGTAATCAGCTTAAAATAATAATAATAATAATTATTATAATACTAATAATAAAAAGAGTAGAAAGAGAAAATGAATACTCTATTTGATTTTATTATTTCAATAAATCATTTTCACACACATACATCGATTCGAAGGTATGATCAGACCTTTTTTTTTTTATTTGTATTTTTATATTTTTTACAAATCAAAAGATAGAAACTCAATCATTCTCTTTATTTCTTCGTATACATGCACACATACATATATACAAACATACGTACAAACATATGTAACCCATGTAATAATTAAGGTTCACGTGGGAAAGTGATCTCGGTCGATGTTAAGAAAAATGAAGACCGACATTTTTATCAGCATGTTCCCATGGCTCTTTTATAGCGGCGGTAGCACCACGAAATACGATTACAAGAAGAGCACCAAGTTATAATACACGAAGTAATGTTATGCACACCAAAGTATAGTCGTCGTCTACGTACGTATGTACGTACGTACGGGGGGCACTTGACTGCCAGATGACCCGTCGTGTTCATGCGATAACCTAAAAGGCACCCATGGCTTCGCTCAAGCTGTCAGAACTCACCTATTTATAAATGCCGTTTTGCTAGATTTTATTTCTATATCAAATATAATTTTCTATCGCCAATTATATTTTCTTTCTCGTTCTTACCCCCGTCCTTGTATCAAATTTTTTTTTGTATTTTTATTTTATTTATCATTTTTTCTTACGTTTGTTTCCATTTTGTTTTATTACGTTAGATGCATACACCAAAAATAAAAAAAAATTAATAGTCGCGTTGAAAAAAGACTATCACTTTAGGATGATGGAAGGTGAACCCCAAGAGTGGCGCTAATCGAGTTCAAGTGCTACGAATGTTCCCCCGTTGGCTGTGTAAATCTTAAAGGATGATAAAAAAAAAGAGAAAAAAAAGTAGAAAGGGAAATAACTTTTTAATTTATGCTACAATGTGCGATAACACAAAGCAAGGTATCTTTTCCGGTAGCATTTAAGTATGATCAAAAATTGTCCATTTTCGATAAGATTTTAATAAAGAGATCTTTTTTTATGATTGTTTTTAATTTTATTTTAATTATTATGATGATCAGGTGTTTTCGGTACACTTAAGGATGGTTCGTAATCTAAAAAAAGAAATTTTACGATGAGACACAAGTTACGCGGAATGCCGAGTTAAATGTTTCCGCAAAAACCACTTGAAGCGGTTTCCGTTGCGGCCACTCAAGGCTTTCTATCCTTGGATTTATCCTAGAGCGAGTGAGAAAGAAATAAAGGAAGAAGCAAAAAAAACCTTACCTAACTAAAGCTATTAAGAAAAAGAAAAAGTCTTAAAAGAGCAGCTGCCAATAACTAAATAACTAAATTCTCGAACTAAAATTTGGCTTTTTCCTTTTTTTTTCTTTTTTTTTTTTTTTTTTAATAAAAACTACAATTACACGAGTCGACGTTTAAAAAAATCTAAAATATAAATTTAATCTACCTTCTTTTTTTTGGTTGATAATTAATAAAAAAAATCAGTGGGCTCGTCTTTGGTACAAATTCGGAGATTCGTCGTTCCAACATCATCGAGTCTTTGAATATTCTAATTTAATCATTATAAATCCGAAATCGAATTTTTATTTTAGTATAAAAATGTAAGCGCACTTATAGTTCGTGAATCGAATCACCGTTTTTTCTTTACCACAATCGTTGAAGATTTTGATCCATTCCTGAAATCGGTGCTTCAATTGTGTTAACGTATTGCATCGGATAATTTAACGGACCAATGTAATTAGTGAAACCGTAATCGCCACTCGAGACGTCCATTATACCAGCCCGACACTCAGCCACCATTTTGTTTTCCGCCGGTACACATTTCAAATCTGGAAAGGAGACATCGTTGACTGGATTCGTTGTACCCTTGTATTCGGTTTTGATCGTTCTAACACACTCGTGAACACTCGGACGTAATTCAGATACGAAATTGCTTCTGTATTCGTTGTTTAAGATTTGTTGTCTTTGTTGTACGTCAACGTTTAGTACTGGTCTATTATTATGATCAGGATTGTGAACATCATTTCTGAACTCAGGACTTATACTTGAATCCATTCTAATTTCGTTAGAACTTGATCTAAATTCTGGACTCAATCTGACGATCGATTCCGAATTTCTAAAATCTCCTTGCATGTTCATCGACATATCAGATCGTACGTTTGACCAATAAGGAACGTTGTAAGCCTCGTGAACATTCGGTTTGCCATCCTTGATCAATACAGGTACCGAAATCTTCTTCAACGATTGATTCTTCATACCTTGTACTTGTAATTTCTCGGCATCTTCGATTCGTGCTCGTTTGTTCTTGTAACGACGGTTTTGGAACCAGATTTTCACCTGAGTACTAGTTAGTTTCAAATTTTGCGCTAACAGTTCGCGTTCCGGTGCACTCAGGTAACGTTGTTGCTTGAAACGTTGTTCCAATTCGTAAACTTGTGTCTGGATGAGAAAAATAAAACAATTTCTGCTTTGAAATATTCAAATATATGTATTCGTGTCTGAAAGTTTTAGGAATATTTTTTAGTTTACCTGGGAAAATAATACTCGTGGTTTTCTTTTCGTTCTTTTACCGGACTGATTTTTTCGCAATTCTGTTTTGCTCGATGTCACGATGTTTCCTTAAAGAAAATATAATTGTTAAAGTTTAACAAAACAAAAGTGCATAATTTTGCACGAAGTCGTAGCAAATCAAATTTGTACAGATTGTATTATTAGAAATAAAATTAAAATTCTGAAGTATTTGTAATTTGATTTTATTTAAATTATAGTAATAAATTGAAATCTCACAGATATATTGTATTCAATTCATTAACATAAATATTAATCAACGAAATAATTAATTGGAATTTCCAATATCAATAATTCAACAATCAGTAAATGTCAATTACCAAAAATGTCGAATATTTTCATAAATCTTTTAAAATGAAAAACATTCTTTGACATCCAACGAAATAAAAAATAAATAAACGAAAAACAAACCATCTTCGGTGACAGGAGCTTCTTGATAAGGTGGTACAACTTGACTCAACTGATGTACATGATTTAATTCGGAATAATGTGAATAACCAGGTACTCCTTGTTCTTTAAACTTCTCCGCATCCCAATTATTATCAGATACCGAATTATACGCGTAATAATCCTGTGGCAAATGCGACTGTTGTTGTTGTTGTTGTTGTTGTTGTTGTTGTTGTTGTTGCTGTTGATGATGATGATGATGATGATGTGATTGATGTTGATGATGAGTATAACACTCCATAACTGCAAACTGTTGATCCTCGTTAAGAATATCACGCACGCTGAACGGAGTCGCTGATATCGAAGATGACAACATTCTAAAGCATTCTACTTCTTTAAGGATTTTTCAAATCCTCAAAGAGTATAACCAACAAACTGAAACAGTCAATATTTGCACCTAATGTTTTCCCATACAATTTGAATTTATTTCAAATCACTTTTAGATCGAACTTTTATTAACACATTCGAAAAAACATCAATTCGGTTGGCTTTTGAACTCGATTGGCACTGACATTCGACCCGTATAATTTGGATAAATGGGTTTGATATCTTTTAAGATAGATGTCAAAGTTGAATATTAAATTTTAAAGGGATGGTCACGGTCATGGAACGGTCAGGTCGGAAGGCGAACGTTTAATGTGACTTGGTTTGTCGATGAGAGTCAAGTGTTGGTTGGGGTTTCTCCTCGGACAGGGACAGCTAAACTATAGAAACGTGCGCGCGCGTGCCTTCAGAAACGTCATATGTGTGTATGCGTGAGCGCGTGTCCTTCCTCTCTTCTCAGACGTGTTCTCTGCTCGCGAAGACGAGATTTTTACCAGCACACCCACATACTGAAGCTACCGCTTCACGGGGGTGATCGTTTTATCTTTACAATTAGATTTATTCTCCTCCTCCTACTCCTCTTCTTTTTTCTTTTTTGTTCTCCCCTGTTTTATCTACTTTGCTTAATTTTATCTCGACATTTGTTCGTTGTATCGGTAAATACATTTTGGGTATATAAATATAATTCAGTTAACTTTTTTGACTTTACTGGGCTTATCGTAGCAGAGTTTCGAAAATTGGTATTCTTTTTTTTTATATGAAAATTTTAATTTTTCAGTATTGTTTAAGTTGTTGTTTAATTTTATTCATTTGTAGTTTTATAATTTTAATTTTAATTTGTTTGGAGGTTTTTTAACTTTGATAATTGATATTCACTGATTGTTTCATCACTAAAACTAGAAATTAAATTTTCATAAAAATCTTAAGATTTTCAAAGAAATGTTTTATGTTAAAAACATTTCGAAGTAACACAATTTTGATTAATATCTTACAAGTTAAAAAAATAACATTAGGTTCAAATAACATTGAGCTTAATATCGATGTTTGACATTAACACAAGTTTTTGAATCATTTTTTATTATACAAATTACTAATTGCAAAACAATATTTGTAGATTTTATTTTTGATGTTTAATATTTTATATGATTTCATTTTTTTTTTTAAATATAATCTAAAATAAATACTTTTTTGCGTAGCACGTTAAAAGATGGTTTTTATGGGGTTATGATTGTTAACGAGGACATCGGAGAAATATTATATCAAAAAAAGATTGCGAATAATGACGATCATGTTTGCTGGTACAGCATTATAATTAAGATCGGAAGTTGTATTCACGATGCGAAATAGCTTTTTGCTGGCAAGACAGCCATAACGCGTGAGTTAGTTAGAGGGGTGGAGCAAAATTAAGACCCGCCTATATTGTCTCAGTTGACGAATCAAAAGATCGAGAGATCTGAGTCTTCCTTTCTGAACTCAACGATTAAATGCGTCCTTCAACATGCATACATTCATTTATGTGTTACTATGCAAGTATATCATTCATCGTACTATAAGAAGTCTTAATTTATTTAATTGATATTTGTGTAATTAATGTAGGAATTAGAATAAAATTAATGTTTTAGGGGTATTAACAAAAGACAAGATTCCTAAATGATTTAATTAAAGATTGGCTATGAAAAATATTGGAATATTAATTTAAAAATTAATCTGTTTGTGTGGAAATTATTTAATTTAATTATTAATAGTAACACTATTGGAACACTGATTTAACAAGAATAGAATATTTCTAATAATTATTATACTGGATGAATTTATTTTTAACAAATGATTGAAAAATATTGGTAAACAAAAAATCGAATTATTTAATTTATCAATGTTTTTTCAAATTCATCTTGAATTAGTTGAAAATTGTAATTTAAGTTTACGTTTACATAATAACAGTGTGATTATTACGTCATTTCGAGTAGAGTTTCGGATTACATCTCGTTTATGCGAGATAGTTTACGAAGAATTTAAGTAGGAACGAAAAAGAAAGAGAAAAAGGGAGAGAGAAATTCGTGACGTGTGTCCGACGCGTGACATACTTGTCAAGAACGAAAAAATTTCACTTTCGGTGACGAATCATAATTCCCGTGAAACGAGGGGATCGAGTAAAAACAAAACAATGCTTTTCTCCCGCCCCTAATCGGTCAATAGTAAAAAGAAAAGAGAAATATATATTAACCCTCTTTTTCGAGTCTGCGATTTTGACGACGAGTCTAAACTAACATAATCCAGACCTCTGTTTCTAGAGGCGCCCGGAACCCTTGAAGCTCGACCCTGGAATTCGAAAAATTGAACCCTCGAAACTCTATCTTCCCAGCTAATTTAAAAAGGGAAAAATATTAAAAAATAAAAAAAAGAGAAATAAAATAAGATTTTCTTATTTTTTCTCATATCAATATATCATCTCATATCAACGTATGACAATGATGATAATGTTTATTAAATTATCTCTGATTATTATTATTTATTAGAGTATAATATTAGTATAATTATTATGATGGTCACAGATCTTATATAAAGAAGACTTATTCCCATTTTTATATTAATAAAAAAATTATTATTCAATATTGAAATAAATTTGTTCTCTTAGAATAAATATAATTATTTCACAATAGTGTTTGATCATAGATTTTATATTAATAAGATTGTCTTCTAATTTAATATTTGTAAAAAATATAAGATTTCTTTTCTTCTTAAATAGTGACTCCTAATTTTGAAATAAGTACAATTATACATACTCCAACAATACTAATAATAATTATCGGACAAATGTTGATTATTAAAATAGAAATAAATTGTTGTATTTTCTGAATGCGCGTTGGAAAGATATTTTTGAAATTATTAAATAAAATATACACGTAGGGGTAATATATTATTTTGATGTTTTTGTTTCGGGTGGTTACGTGTTAGACTAACGATATGGTGCTGGTGAATACGTTGCCCTGTCGTGTATAGTAGGCGCCAAGAGATAGCAAGGCGCCTTCTTAACTGTGGGAAAGTGACGTCCGCACCAGCGATTCGAAGATCTGATGGGTGGTTGGATATGCGTGCGAACCCATTGTCTAATTTTAAATTTTATTTATTAAAATTTCTTAAACAAAAAATTTAACTTATTGTCGATAAATAAGTAGTACATTTCTCAATTGTAAAGATAATTCTTGCATATTTTTATGAATCAGAATTATACATTTCGGGTGATGATAATTATTTTTTCTAGTGTGTATGAAGGATTAATTTATAATTAACTTTTATTCGTAAAAAGAAGCTTAATTTTTTTGCCATTAGAATTATTTCGTATTTAAAAGTTCTTCTATATTAAAGAATAAATCAAAATTATGCATTTGGGGTAGTAAGTATAATAAATCAATATTTATATCTATGATAAATCAATTATATATATTAATCCTGTAACAAATTATTTTTCTAATACAGTAATTTTACACAACTATTTAATAATATTTACAAATTCTAAAATATTCTGCTACTAATTCAAATTCTGCATTTATGGTATACGATATCCTTAGGATATAAGTATTTTTATATAATATACATTCTAATTATATAATGATGGCACATAAAATCTTTGAAAATGATTAGAAGGATTGAAAAAACACAATTCACATGAAATAAAACGAGATTTCTTTTTTTTCACAAATTTCTCAAATACATGATCGGATGTAAGTAAATACGCGTACCTGTAAGATAAAATTGACATGTACAATTTTTAGGTATTAAAATAACAGTTTAAGGAGGAGGAGAAGGAGGAGGAGGAGGAGGAGGAGGTGGTGGTAGAAGCAAAAGAAATCCTGAAGCAACGTGGTGTCCAGTTGCAAGACGTTCCCGAACATCCATGTTGGCCGTAAATACAAAAGGGCTCTTTGTGAAAAGAAAAAGAATCCGTGTCCGTGTCTTGCGTTTAAATACACAAGCTGTATGCGACCGGCACCGATAATATTCTATCCGTCGGGAGTTAATAGAAAATCCCCTATACTATATACTTTCTGATCTTCGTTCTATCTTTCTGTCCTTTTTCATCGTCATCATCTTTTTCTTCGTTTTCGTTGTCGTGGCAGACTCGTGGGAGGTCAAATCCCGCCCATGATGACCTTTTTATTTTTCCTTTCTTTACAAGGATCTGCTTTTTCTCTCATAAAAAAAAAAAAAAACAAAAATCTTCAACTTTATGAACAATAAGACTGTCTGTGATTTATTCATTTTTATGGATGGAATGAATCATTGTGTTATATTCTATGAGGATTGTTTTTATATATTGGAGTATGTAATGCATACGTGTGACGTTAATTTTTTTTGTGCTTTTAAGTTTAATTAAAAAAATTTAATATCACAAGAACATCTCCTCCCTTACAAGGTATAAAAACAAATTGTATATTTTGCGATTAGAGTGATTAATTTTAAAATCCATAATATAATTTGTTTCTTTTTTTTACTTTGATTAATTTTCGAATAAATTAAAATATAATTTAGATGTTATAATCAAGCATATTGTCTTCCATTTATTACGATCGATTTTAATTAATGTTTGGAAACTTAGATTGGATAATAAATAACCTAACGAACTGATTTTCCTTTTTAACGGAGGAAGTTCGGATGGTACAAAAAAGAAAATGAAAAAAAGTAGTCGTTTCCCTTAGATGTTGTAAACAAAAATCGGAACACGTATCTGTTGAAAGTCCAGTCGATGAGCAAAAGTTGTCGGCTCCAGTATTGTGCTTGAAAAGGACAGCTAAGAAAGTACTAATATACGTTCTTCCCGCACTTATAGTACTACGAAGAGAAAGAGAGAGAAAAAGAGAGAGAAAGAGAGACTTTCGTTCGGTCGTTTCGTCTCACGAGTGGTCCAGACAATTGCGTGCTTCTGGTTGTCTAGACTGCCCCGAGAACACATCCCTCCTTTTATTTTTCTGCGGTACGCGGCGGAAAATGCACTCGCGTTTACACGACGCGTTTAGTTCAGTCATTTATCTTTTTTCCTTCCCTTTTTCTTTTTTTTTTTTCTTCATTTTTTGTCTTTTCTTATCTGTTCTTTCCATTCCCCCTCCTCCCACCACCCCAATAGTTCGCGTCGAAATTTAATTTGAAAATTTACCAAGATTTT